TACGGCATTAAAAACTGTTAAAAAAATGGCCAGATTCAGAATAGCCAAAGCCAGCATTGTTGCAGTTTTTTGTGTATATATATATATAACTAGTGAGCCAGTCAAAATGCCTTGACTCACTTTATAGTCCACCAAAGAAGGTTAACCAATCAGAAGATGTAGAACATTCAATCCGTCGTTTATAAAGGCGGCCATTTTTGTTCACTCTACCTAAATGTCCAGTCCAGCTTGTCAGGCGAAGAGAACCAGAAGGGCGAACTATGCTCTGCTACTTTTATCGAAATATCCACTGCTAACCTGAACAACGCTTTCCTACGGTCTTCGAAATATTCACTGCTAACCTCTGGATTCTATACTCGAAGATGACTGTCATGAAGAATAACAAGCATCGCATTTGGTAAACTTAGACATAGGTTATGAAACACCAAAGACGTGTCTCTCAGAGTAAAGATCGATATATACAGACCAGTCCTTCTCTCAACCATTCTTTATGGTGCTGAAACTTGTACCGCAAGCACATAAATCAACTTGACGCCTTTCACATGCGCTGTCTTCGTGCCATATGTGATATAAAATGGGATGACAGGGTCAAGAATAGTGCAATACTGAAGAAATGTAACATCACAGGCACTGAAACCATTCTAGCGAAGATACAACTTAGGGCTGTTGATGTTGGGAGAATGGATGAGAATAGGCTTTCAACGAAGGTGCTGTATGGACAACTACCAAACTCCAAGCATTCAGTTGGACGTCCACTCTTACGCTACAAAGACAAATTGAAAGACAACGTGAAATGTCAAGCTGTGAAGCAGAGACGACATCAAAATCCTGCTTTAACAAATTTCATCTGTCAGTATGGCTTTGTCGCCCGCAGCAAGGGTAGCCTAGTATCACTCTTAAGAAAGTACAAATGAAATATGTCTTTCCCTTTACCTGATTTTCTGCACTGCTAGCAGGCGTAAGTGTAAAACAAAAGGCATCATCCAATGCTGACCCTCTACCATATATATATATATATATATATATATATATATATATATATTATATATTAGTCTTCTCCGCTCTCCAAGGTCCACTATAGGCATTAGTTTATCCGTGATATACTAACACCTTAATGCAACTGAAAGAATACTAAAAATTACCCATAGAAATGAATTCCAAAAATGAGTTACGCATGGAAATGTTTTATATACATCACCGAAGACCGCTTGGGAATACCAGGTGTTGTGAGGTTGGATGTGTGGATGGTGTAATGTATAACGGCTCAGAATTCTACTTCGGAAAACCGAGTTCCAATTCCTGTCGGGTTTATTATATTCTCTTACGCGCGAATACACTTTGGAAAGATAGGATTCCACATCTTCTCCTTCCCGGTTATGAATTAATTAGTAGGACTCGATCAGTATATTATTATTATCGCCCCCAAAATCTTACAATGTAAAAATATTTTCTGGCTTTAAATAACCTGCAAAAGGTTGATAAGCCATAAAAACAAATTAATCAATTAATTAATAACATCACTGAAGTATACAAATATTATACAAAATGCTACACACACAGATACTTACATGTGTGTGTGTGTGTGTGTGTGTGTGTGTGTGTGTGTGTGCTCGCGCGCGTGTGTGTACATAAACCGAAGATGTTACTTAACCAAAGATCAGAAATCCTTAACGGGTGTAAACATAAGAAATCATGCTTACTGGAATAAAAGAATTGTAATTAATTTTAATTTTTTTTCTTTTTTAACATCGTGTGGTTTTATGCTAATTTTAGTTTTTAATGTTTGTTTTTACCAATAAATAAATATATTCCTTCGTCATATCTTCTTCAGCCAGTTCACCGTGAAGATCCATTTTAGGTGAAACCTAGGTAGGTAGTTTCAGGCTCACTGGGATTTCTTATTCTCTGCTCTACTTACTTAGTGTATTGAGCACTTTACGTTTTTTCCTATTTTACTCCATTGTTTTTTGTTTGTTTTTTTCTTTTGGTTTGGCCAAATACGGTGTTGGGCAATTTTTTTCGAACTGCTCAGATGTTTTTAGTCTTTTTTTTTTTTCCAATTTTTTTCTCCAGATATCAGTTTGCTTGCAAATTGTATTATCCGGGATTTTTTTTAATACCAGTCGAGTATAGCTATTAAAATAAACATAATATATAAGGAGAGTTTTGTACTTGTTGAAACGTGTTGTTCTTAAAAGGATTGTTTATCGCACATCGTCGCTGCTGGCGAGGGTGTCTGGCTGGAACGGCGGCAGATGGCGAGATGGAGATGCGGCTGCTGCTGCTGACTGACTGGCTGGAACTGCTGCTGATGGCGGGAGCCGTGGATCGACTGTCTGCTGCTTGAACAGATACTACACTTTGATCCTAGTCTTTATTTAACATGAAATACACGTTTGTGGTGCAAGACCGAAGGGGAAGTAGAGAAAGACTGATTGTCACTGATTAAAGTTAGCTAATCTGATTCACGACCCATTGATTCTTACATTTCACCATAAGAATGTATCCTTCTTCACCCAAAGCATCGTTTACCAAAATATCATATATTTGCAGGGATCCTACTTAGAAAAAAACCCATGGTAAAATGTTCGATATCTACAATTGTGATTTTTTTTTCTTTTTTTATCCTAGTCATCTTGTCCGAAGAATGGTTATTTACCCCAGTGGCAGACTGAAAAAATATTGATTTTTAATTTTAGAATTTTAGAATTGGTTCCTGTTCATAATATCGATACGGTTTTAAAAATATCGTTTCTTTTGACATTTTTTTAACAGAATTAGCTGAACTTAGCTATTGTGCTTACGAAAACAAACTTTTTTTTTTTTTAAGCATTCAACCCCAAGCAAGGCGGGAAGCCACTAGCACGCAAAGGGTTTCAGAGTAGCAGCGAGAAGAAAGAGGAGTGATAGAGGAAAGGATGAAGAGACGGTTAGGGGATAAATCAGGGTATCTGGAGACGTCGATTGACGTTACATTTGAATAGTTGGAGATTAGTTATCAGGAAAACAAGAAATGGGGAGGGAGTTCCACAGGCGAGAAATGCGAGACATGAAGCTATTGGAGTAGAAGAGACGGCTACATTTAACAGTTTCGACAGTGAAAGGGTGAGAGCGAGATGCCAGCCTAGTTATGAAGTCTGGGAACCAGCGAAAGCAGCTCATCGGAGGTATTTGTAAAAAAGACAGAGGGGAGCAACGGCACGTCGGTGAGAAAGCGGCTGCAGACGAGATGCCAGATCAGGGCCAATTACATTGCATTGCGTATCCGTCTTTGGATTTTATCAAGGACCCTGAGACAATTAGAAGGGGCTCCAGACCATATATGGCAGCAATACTCCATGCAAAGGTGAATGGTTGATTTGTAGATTTGAAGGATCGACTCCGGTGAGAAAAATTTCCTGGCGCAGCATAGGGAGCCAACTTTCCTAGCGGTGGACGAAGCTATTGACTCAATGTATTCGTTCCATCTCAGGTCAGCGGATAATGTGAGACCGAGCAGTCGCAAAGAGGTGCTTTCATGGAGAGCAGTTTTGTTTTTGACGCATTAAAGGATATTTTAAAATTAAAAAAATCAAAGTTTAAAAAAATTCAGAATTAATAATTAATTACATACTGATATTATTGACGTAAAGCACGGTTTCAAACTTGACATGTGCAGATAAAAAAAAAACTATATCCAGAAAAGTCTGTAAAAAGTCAGGGGTCGATTTTTTTGTAAACTGAGAAAAAATCAGTTAATAAAGTTAAAGAAAGTCAATATTTTTCGAATTTGATAATTGCTTGCATAAAAATGAATGCTAATCTACAAAAATTATTCCCTGGAAAACTGTCCCTATTTTGTTACGAACGGACCAGTATATTAAAGAAGTACCAAGGAGAAATCATTTTGAATGCGAATTTATGGAGTTTTTTTTTGTTTTTTTTTTTCTTATTACGGATTTTGAGTTTTGAATTTTGACTGTGTCGAGAAATGTCTCAAACTTGTTTTAAGTTGGAAGTAAGTACGTTGATTTATTTTTTTATTTTTTTTTTTTTCAACATTTAAAATAAAATATTTTTATACTCCGACTCACTCAGAGATTTGATTGAAAGAAAGATGTGTGTCTGAGTGAGTGAGTGAATGAGTGAGAGATGTGTAGTAAAGAATGAAATAGAGAGACGCTTCTATAACACTTCGCATTGTCGTACTTATCAAGGTGAAGGCTTCTTTAGACTTGTCGTACCAAGGTGAAATGCTGGAATCTTCCGTTTTTAAGCGCAAATTAACGTAAAAAAATAAATAATATATAACAATGTTTAGAAAAAATAGTACAACTTCAGTTTATACAAAAAGGCAGATTTTTATCATTAGCAAAAATGTTCAGATTATGATTTTTTACCCTTTTTTTGCATGACGTTCGGTGCTCTCTTTTTGTCTCATAAGAGTTCTGTTAAATAAAAACACTTAAAAGCACTTAACAGTAACACTAAACAGTAACACGTGTAAGAGCTGTCGACAGGGGCAAGAGATTTTCATCAGTAGTAGCAATCCTACAATTAAGAGAGGATTAGTCACATAAGCTAGCATCTTTTTATTTCCTCTATAGACACAATCCCAACAAAAAAGTAATATAAATGATTATAATTTAAAGCGCACTCGAAAGGACTTGGTGGTATTTAAATTAATTACAAATATAACATTAAACCAGAGATGTGCAGGTAACTTAACCAATCAAATCCATATGTTGAGGTCATGTGATTAAAAACATTACATTTATAAACAAAGAATATATATATATATATATCCGAAAGCATAACAAATAAAAAAAGAGAAAATGTAAGAAACTATGCTTTGTTTGAGATTATTTGTATTTAAAAAAAAAGAAGCGATAACTTCTTGAGAAGTGATTAAATGTTGGTTTTTTGTTTATATTTTTAACTGTGGACGGTAATGTTTGGAGAAATTCAGTGGTCATGTGATCTAAATAATGGAATCTGATTGGTCTTCCCCTACTTTCCAAATGAAAACATTGTTTCTCTGCTCGAGAATCCCTTTTCAACGCGATTCTCAAACGGATAAGCGTAAACAAAATTATAAGAAATTATACATATATTGATAATAATATCGTTTCCATTCAAAAGCATAGTGGCTGTTTTTCGTTATTATCAAATTATTTTTACAGTTCTTAAAAATTCTTGATAAAATTTAAATATTTTTCAACGTATTATTTGACATTTCTTTTTCTTTGTAAAAATCTCTAACAAAATATCCATCTGTGATGAAATAATTACAAAACAATTACATAGAAAATAAAATATTTCTTAAAAACTGCTTCCTTTTCCTTCCTCTCCATCCTTTTTTTTTTATCTATAGTCTTTTGTTTCTCCCCCCATCTTGTACGCTTTTCCTCCCGCTCCTCCTCCCTTTGTGACACATTTGTTTTACCCTCTCTAATTATTCATAATTTTTCTTTCCCCACTACCTTTCATATTCTACTCTATTTCTCTTTCGCTCGGAATCTATAACAAATCTACTGAGTATAAAAAGCTCAATCTGGTCGCCTCTTTTTTTCTGCAATTCATTACTTCGGTGCTGCTTGTGGATTCTTTTGGGGGTTTTGCTTTGTAAGCATATAAACTGTGGAAAAATATATTCAGCAAACTATATTTGGATTCCTTGGAGAGAGTGAAAGAAAAAAAAGTGAATTTAAAAATTTTTCTATGGTTTTTGTCTTCCAGCAACACTGACTCGATCTCATTCAAATTTAATTTTCACAACTAAGGTATGATTTTTTTTTTTTTTTTTTTACATTTATTTATTATTTTTGTTTAATATGCGCTATTTTATCTTTAGCTCATTATACAGGACGCATTCCTATATTTTTGCAAACTAGATTTAAAAAAATTAACTTAAAAAAAATTGTTTTAATTTGTCCACTCTGTTAAACAACAAAAAATAGAACCTTACCATTTTTTTTCTCAGACTTGGTTAATAATTAAAATAAACTGACCAAAATGGTCTTAAAGAAAAAAGGCCGCTTTCCACAAGTGAACTAAAAACTTTTTACCCCGAAACTAGAAACCTAGGTTCTCGACTCTCTTTGCTGAAATCTTTTTAGTAAACAAATTTTGTATTTTATTTTAAAGGGTAAAAAAAAAAAAAAATCTACTTAATTTTTTTGAGCCCCCCCCCCAACCCCAATTTTAATTATTCATATTGATTTAAATTTAGAAACCAATTTATTTCCTACCTAAACTAAAAAAAAAAAAAAAAAAAAAATGTGTAAAAGAAGACCTTGTTAATGTTATATTGGTCCTCCTCACCTTGTTTTTCTTTCTTCCAAATCTTTGCTGACGATGCCTTCAAATTGTGCGATTTCGTTACTTTATTTCTCTTTTCTTTCTACATTTTACATGAAAAAATATATTGACCGATATTTCTCCTTTTTTTTTTCTTCATATCTTAAAAAAAATTAGAATTTTTAGTACATTTTTACTAGTTTTCACCTCGACTACAACGTACTAAAAATACAAACAATAATAAAAAAAAAAAAACAATTGTCCCTAGCAGTCACTTGAAATTCCGTTTTTTAATCTTATTTGTAGAAATTTTTGTTGCAAGTCGATTTTGAAAACCCTTTTTTTTCTTTGTATGCATCTACCAAGAAAGCTTGCTTGTAAAATCTGATACGTTGAAAGAAAGCGAACCATTTTTAGTTTGTTTATAAACATCCGTTGTTTATGACACGTGAACGTAACTGATTTAAAAAGAAAACGAAAAGACAGCCTTTTCGCATAGCAATTTTTCGTAATTGCTTGCAAATTAAGATCATTTCAAATTATGTAGGTTTGTTTTATGTTTTTCTTTTCTTTTTTTTAAGAATGTAATTTTAATTGAATTTAAATGCATTATTTGACTATTGGCAATTAACTGTTGTATCCACTTGTAAGGGATTTGCTAAGTCTCCGTATAACAAATTACTCGGAAAATGACCATTGGTAGTAAAAAGAAGGAAAAAAAATGTCCTCAATTAAGTATTGATTAAATGCAGAAATCTACATTTATTTATTTCTGATTGTAGCAAGATTTAAAAACATTCGATTAGTAGGTCGAAAAACAAAGCCATACAGGTAAGTAAATCAGTCTGGTAATTGATATCTCTACTAGACAAAAAAAAAATGGCAAATCTAGATTTTTACACTCAAAACATGGTTTGACTTGTTTTTTGTTCTTTTTTTAAATTAAAAGAACCCGTCGGTTTCAGAAATGTGGACACGTTTTATTTACCAAAATAACGTCTTGTATATTTTTATTTTTATAATCGGAATCATGTCTCTCTTTCTACTACTCACTCGTGCGTACAAACCTTTTAAACGAAAACTGGTTTTTCATTGTGATTGTTCCGTATTTTGATTACGAATGTCTTTTACCAACATTTTATCAATTTAATAAAAGAAAATTAAATTCCTTTTTTATCTTTACGGAAATTGATATTAAGAAAATTTACTTCACTGACATTTTTTTATACAATAAATGCAACGGAAGTTTTTTTACATTTCATTTACCTTTTTTTTTCTCTTTAGTAAAACGATAATTTTGAATTCTTTTCTCTTTTTCTGAGTAAATGGCATTCGGCAACAAGTGTAAAACGTTTAATATTTTTGTCTAAATTAAGTTTTAGGAATATCAGTCTCTGTGGTATAATTGAAGGATTTTAAAAATAATTTGTTACTTGAATTATGGCTTAACACAACAGTAACACTAACAGGATTATTTTAAAAGTAAAAAAAAAAAAACCCATTGATTGCTAATTTACTCGTATACTCGCATTTTTACCTAGTACTGATTAAGTCAAGATTAGAGGTACTTACCTCAAATTTTGCAAGGTTAACACTAGCTGCAATTAGTACTAAGATTTCTCAAAAAAAAACAAAAAAAAACTACCCTTCCACAGTAATCTGAATCATCACTCGCATCTTTAAAACTACAACACTGAATTTTTTTTTTTTAAACTAAAGTTGTATAAAATTTCAATTTCATCAATATGGAATTTTAAAGATTTAGATTAGAAAAAATCTGGGATTTTTTTTTTTAAAGCTTCGGTTTAAAACTGGACTATTTCAAAACTTGCAATCTTGGAAGCGTTAGATTTATGCTGTTAGAGACTTTCCTTTATCTTTATTTACACGTCAATGTTTTCACAAAACTGGCATTATTGTCATTAAACACCTTATGAATGTTAAAATTTTCAGACCATGCTAATTGAAGCCTTTTTTTAATTACAATAATTTAAATGAAATCTTGTGCAACTTTATAGTTGTTCATAAATAAATTCAATAGTAAATAGGGTTGACTATCATCCGGTTCACACTCTCCTCCCAGATCTTTTGGTAGTAATAAACATTATCATCATTATCATGACTGAAAGTATAACAAGATAACACTTAAATTTACATAGAAACTTTACTGATACCTCCTTTATTGCTTGCGTCTTGATGGCAGTGTTTGCTTGATGAAAAACTCCTGGCTTCCTTGTACTGGACTTGCTAGTCTTAGCAGAGCTTTTGTATTTTTTTGTAAATGGATTAATTTACAGCTGCACTTTGAATGCACATAAGTTTTAAATACTTTCCATCATTCCTATAAGTAATGGAACATTTGGTTTAACTCTCAATCTACAAAATGATCCTTCTAAATTCAATTAAGAGGCCTAAAATTTCTTTTTTTGTTTTTTTTCTTTAGGTTCTAAAAATGAAGTATCCAAAGGCTACAAAAGAAACTCCTGCTGAAAATTCTGAGCATGACTTCTCAGAATACATGTGGATGGCAGAAGAAGGTGTTGAAAATTTTGACAGACAGGTATAGAACACTCTAAATATTTTAAATCTTAATCTTCCAAAATTCAGTGTAATTAAATCTGATTGGAACCCCCTTTGTATAGGGTTTAAAATAAGGACTTGTAATGTTGACAATTTTTACATGCCTATATTTTATCTGGATGTTTGGACAGTGTAATGGATATCAGTGTAGAAAATAGTCTTTACAAATCATTAAAGTTCCAAACTCGTCTGTTGCCTTCAATTCTACATTCATGCCTTTAGAAAAGGCATAAATCTATCCCCCACCACCTAGCCTTGGGTGGTAGCCAGTCTAAGGAAAACTCAGAATTTCAAAGCATGGAGCAGGCAGTTAGAAAGTACTCCATTATCTTTCTCATGGTAATTCAGATAAAGAAAAAAATCAGCCTGGAGTCATGATTGCTTATACCTTGACTGGAAATGGCATTAAAAAATATTTTAAACATCAAAATGTCTCTTAAGCTTGTTTAAAGCACTTGATTAGTTCTTTTTCTGAAATTATTAGTAAAACTTAAATCATTAAATGGAAATATTTTGAATTTTCTTTTTGCTTCTCAAATTAGCCGAGAATTAAAGCATCTCTTTACTGTTAATGTGCTTTTAATAGTACGTCTCCTGGACTGTTATGTAATATCAGTTCTCCTATATGGCAGTGAATGCTAGAGAATCAAAGATGAAGAGACTTGAAGAAAGAAATGTGGTCTTACAGAAGGATGCTGAGAATACCATGGACTGAACATGTGAGCAACAACAGTTTTAGAGAAAATGAAAACAAAGAGCATACTTAGAATCAGACAATTAACATTTCTGGGGCACATAGTGACAAAAGAATTTAAGAGGGACAGGAAAGTAGCAAATAACCTATCTAATGAGCTTGTGTAAATGGTTGGCAGACCAGGGATTAGGAGAGATAGAAAAAATGTCAAAGCTTTTAAAAAGCTACAAAGGGAATTTGTAGAGAAACATTATTGCTTACACCCTGAAGGGACATGGCATATATCTGTTGGTTCAGGACTGTAGTAACAATTGTCACATTTACATTGCCATGACATGAGGAAAGTCATGGGCCACTTCACCCACTGTCATAAATGTCATCAACTTGATATGCATATGAATTTCTAAAGTTAAATGAACCAAACAGTTTGTGTAATCTTTACTTTCTAGTGCAACGATTTTGAATCAGGTGAAGATAATTGAAATGTCATGAAGCAAAAGTTGGTGATATTACCAAAAAAACATCAAGGAATTCTATCTTGGTCACCCTGTGACAGGCTGATGTTAGGAGCATTTTGGAAAGGAAAGATTAATCACTCTTTGAAATTGAAAGAGATAAAAGTTTGTTATAAATTTGAAACCCAAAAATAATGATTAGGTCATGGATGAAAGCTGCATTACTAGTGAAGTGACCATGTAAATTTTTTTTTACCATTAGAAGGCTTAAGTGCCTCTTGAGGTAGTTACTATATAGGGATGTTGTAAGGGCATATCAGGAAGCAAAGGTTGCATATCATGAGGATATGTAGGATAAGTAATGGTTAACCATTTGACTTGTTGAAGTTTAGATTGTAGTGGTCAGCTATGCATCCTCTTGAGTCAATTCCAACAGATCTGGGCAGAAAGATGAGTGGAATGAGTAAGAGTTAAATCCATGTATGTGGCATGGCAGGTCCTAGCTGCAAAGGTATGAAATGGTGGAACCAAGGAATGTAGTTCACCTGAACATCTACCATGAAAATAGCAAAGTATAATAAAGGTGTTAAAAATGTCATTAAAAAAAAAACTACAAAAAGGACCTATAGGGTAATGAGAAGTATACTGACATTTCATGATGAATGAAAAATGGTAGATTTCTAATGCCAAGTGCCCAACAAAAAGTTGATATTAGAAACCACCTATGATGTACAACAATTTATTCTCTAATGATAGTCTTGTAGCTCAGGACTTTCAACAGTGCAAGAAAGATAAAAATTGAATATGAAAATCCAAAATAAGCTACCTTTACAAAGGTCCTATTTGTTACCAAGTATACTGAAAAGTAAAATATTTCATGAGGGTGCATTTTTACCATACATCACTCCAAAAAAGCATGTATTTTTTTTTTAATACACCCTTAGTAGGGAGCATACATATGTAATGAAGGGGTCCCAAATTCTCTTACCCCAGAGTCCTTTTAAAGCCTATCACATGCAACAAGTTTCTGACTGAGGGAAATTTAGAATTAGTCCCATCTTATTTTCAGTTGAGGCATTAGTTCATACTAAAAGAACCATACAGATGGCTTTTAATATCCCCAAATATATCTTTTAATACTACTTTTCTTATGACTCACAACTTCTCATAGCCTATTTTCACTATCACCATGCATTCAGATTCATATCTCAATTTGTATTATGAATAGTCATCAAACATTGTCAAGCACTTGATGTTTAGTAACAATTAAACAATTTCCCTTGCCTAAGTAGGTTTTTATTTGTTTGTCATTGTACTTAATATTAAATGTCTAAATTCATTTGAAAAATACTTAAATACATGAAATAGTTACTCATTAAATTATAATCTGTTCTGGCTAATATATTTGAATAACTTTTCCATTTTTAATATTAAATTTACTAGCAGAATTCCTGCCTTATGGCCAGAGATTGTAAATAATTCAACTTTAAAATTCCTGTATATTTTCACATAGACATCTGTTAATTTTTTTTTCATTATTCTAAGTCCACTTTAATTTTCTCCTAGATATAGCCATAGAGCTGATCATGAAACATTTGAATTTCTTAATATTTGTATTAATAATAATTGGAATACAATCAAAGCCAGGATAGACAGATCAGATGTGTGGGCAAGCTGAGGTTGAGGTTACTCACTGAATGTCCCAAGTTGGCACAGAAGATAAGTGATGACATGATTGGATTGGTAAGAAAATCCATTCAGATGTATGTTGCAATTTTTGTCTTCAGTGTAAAAGGGAAGTGGTATGAACAGTGATCAAAGAAATAGAAAATAATGGTCCAAAGATATCTGATTTCTCTGTTCAGATCATGCCATTGAAGCTTGAAGACTTATTGTTATAGATAAGGAAATTAACAATTTTCAAATACTTTTACTTACAGTCTGACATTTATGCTTGAAAAAAGCAGCTTGTAAAACAAACAAGCACATTCAAATAAGTCACACATTTTTGCAGTACAAGAGCAGGTCATTAGAATGAATGCAATCAAGGCCAGGATAAACAGATCATAAAAAGAAAGCAAATACAGTATGTTGGCAAGCTGATGACAGTTGAGCACATATTCACTGAATTGACACAGGGGTTAAGTGACAACATGATTGGATTTGTTAGAGAATCCATTGGGAAGTATGTTGTAGGTTTTTGCGTCAGTGTAAGAGAAGTGGTGTGAACATCAGCTAGAGGCAGTGGTAGAAAACAAGTCCAAAGATGAGATTTCTCTGTCCAGACAGATCATGCCATTGTATCATAAGACCTGACTTTCTTATAGATAAGAGAATAGTAAATGTCAAATTGATTTTGCTGTTCTTTGATACAAAAGAAACTGAAAATATAGAAAAATAGCAGGATCTAGCTAGGGAGATGAAAAGAGGCTATGGAACATGAAAATGTAGAACTAATTTCTTGGAACACCACCTAGAAAATTGAAATGAATGTTGACCTCCCAGAAAACTCATCTCTGAGAATTCTCTGAAAAGTTTAGTTTTGAGTAGTCTTGTTGATACCATTCCTCAAGAACAGAATTTCCATTGACTGCCAATGTGACCTATAAAAACAAATTCAAGACTTTTTTTTTTTTTTTGTTTAAATAATTCCATAAATTTTTAAAATCTAATTTTGACTTGATTAATGCCATAGTTTTCAGCTCTGCTCAACTAATTTCTAATGTAAAATGTTAGACAGCAATGATTAGCAATGATAATTGCAGAAAGTAATATAAATTGCTTGGCTTGAAAGTATAAAATTCTATCAATTTTTATTTTCTAAATTTATTTACCGTGTTTAGGTTTGTTTTTATTTAAGCCAGACTTATTTTTTTAATGTAAATATTTTTCTAACTTACAACTGAATTTTGAGAAGTCCAGATATAAATTCTTTATATGCAAATAATAGGTACCTCCAATTTTGATACTTTGGTTTAAAATTATTTTTTTATAAATGAAAAAAAACTTTCTTGAAGCTTTCAATTTAGCTTTAAATGAAAGCTAAATGATTAAATTTACTATTTCCAGTAAGCAAAATACTCTATATTTAAAATAGAAATTCTTTTGATTGGAATCTCAACTTTTTGGTCACTTTCAGAAAATAAACCACTTTTTACACAGTTGTAAATCCTGAAAGTTTCATTAAAATCTGACAATTGATTCTTACAAAAATTTCCAAATCAATGTTTTTTGGGTTTTTTTAACACTTGAAAAATGGTGCTGACATGACAATATTAACCAAAATTTGAAACATGCTAGAAAAGATAAAATATTAATAAAATAAAAATATACTTAAACATTTTGAGAAAACTGTTTTTTAAGTTTGAAACCTTTTCATCATGCTATGCTGTTTTTTCTTCAGTGACAAAATGTAGGTCTTTATACAAATATAACTGAAGTATTGCTTTAATATGAATTAATTTGAATTAAAATAAAAAAAGCAAAGTAAATATTACTGCTTAAATGCCTTTTCTTTTTTTTTTCTTTTTTTTTTTTAAATTATACTGTTAGTAAGTTCATTACACGTCAGCAGTGCAGGTTGGATTTTGTTCTACTGTAAAGTGGGGGCACAAAGATAAAAATTTAGCCTTACACAAATTTGTAAAAGATAGTCTTTTTTGACATAATCTGAGACTTGTTGCTAATTTTTCAGTTTCATTTAGCTTATGTGCTTATTTCTTTATTTTGTTAGGTTGAAAATGAATTGTGGGAAGAAATGTTCATTGAAGCCTGTTTTGAAGAAATGTTGGCTGAGGAAGAGCAGTGGTTCTATCCTGAACAAAACTCTGAATTAGCAGACATGTTACAAGGCATTCACTTGAGTGAGGAATTCACAGAGGAAAGGGTAAGTTTTTGCTAGAACTTTCATATCAGCTCATTACTGAGTAGAGGTGATATGTTAATTACAAAATCATAACAACTTGGAAAATTGCTATATTTTAGTTTCTTATCAGCATTTAGATCCTAACTTGATATTTTAAAGTTTAATGGAGAATATATCAGCTAATTAAATAAATCGGTGAATGTCTTTCCAACTGTTGTGAGAATGCTGGTCGTGTTTAGGTAGAAAATACACATTTCCTAGTATATTTTTCCCACAACAATTATTGCAGACTCAAATGTGAGTCTGGGTAATAAATGAATAAAGTAACAACAAAGTTATATACAAATGTATCTTTACCAAAATTTATACATAGGCAATAAAAGATTGTTGCAGGTGGAAAAACAATGAATATGAAAAAACATTTAAACTAGAAAATGTTTGTGCATGAAGTTTGTGTAGAAGTCAGAAAAATAATTGAAAGTGATAAATGTGCAATGCTCCCCTTTGACATTTGTACCTCATGCGAACTACATTTTAGTGTTTCAGCAAAATAGAAAAGAGGATGACAGTCATTCCCTAGTCTTAAGCAGCATCCCCTAGGGATGTTTTTTAGTAGAGTATTTGGGTTAACCCACTCTGGTCAATCATTCCTAAAACTGGCAACTATACAATGATAGGGTTCCTTGGATTGAAAACCATTTCAATCCAATTGCTGTAGTTCGGAATAAAACTTTATATTTACCAATTACTGTAGACTTCTTTCCAGAGAAAAAAAAAAAAATATTAAAAGGATTTTTTTTTCAGGTAGAGTTGAAGAGAGGATGGCACCTCTGAATACAGTGTAAGGTGCATATGAAAACAAAACCCTAAACTGATATGAAATTTGGCAGGACATTTTTTATATTAACATAAAAACAATAGAACAAAATACAAGGTTTACAAATAAGTTTGCACAAAATTTTTCAAGGCAAGATAGCTAGTTCAAAATATTGAATTATGGCTCATAAAACAGATCTGTTAAATCTTATCAACTTTCAACATTGGAAAAATCTCTCCAATTCCTTTAAAAGTACAAAGCAAAATACAGATTCTTTCAAAGAGAAGGCTTTGACCAATTCACCTGAGTCTCTGGGACTTTTTTTTTTCTTTTTTTATTTACACAGTTCAGTTATTAATTTAAGACAAATTTCACTTTCCTGTTTCTTTCCTTGTTTGCTTCTTGCTTATGAAAGCCTAGTTCATCTACTGGTGACAGCCAAAATTCCTTGTTCTTCTGAAATATTTAAGCGTGAGGTCCTGAAATCCTCTGAACCTCAAATTGGCTCTAGACATCCGAATTCTAAATTTGTGTGAGAAAATTACCCATATATATATATATATATATATATATATATATATATATCCTAGAAGAAACCTCAACAGAATGCAGAAAGCACTGGAGGGCCGTTTCGTCCTATATTTGGGACTCATCAGCAGTGTACATCCACTACTGAGAATTGAAACCCTGACAGCTAATTAGATTCAATATAGCGCCACGCAATCACATATTCTATGGTGGAACTCATCCAAGTTTCCCTTACCCATAGGACTGTGCTCCCACAAGCCATGACTACTATCCCCAAGCTGCTCCATCCAGAGCATTAGAAGCTGGTTCAAGCAAGGATATACAAGTGTTAGAAATTATTAGGATTTGAGATAATTATAATTCGAGTCTAGAAGAAACCTCAATAGGCCTCAGTGGTGAAGTTTGCGAATTAAAAAAAATTATATATAATTTTGTGTCAAAATGCAGATTTTGTAATTTAAAATTAAATCTTAAATTGTCTGCCTTTTCAAACCATTTTAAGTTTAATAAACGTTTTACATCAAATTTTTTTTTTTTTTTTATTTTTTTTTTTTTAATACTAACCATCAGGGTTTCTTTTATGTTAAAACCTTTCTCTTAAAAGCAAAACCTAGTCCTATTATATTTGTCTTCACTTTTTAATCATTTATTTCTTATAAATTTTCATATTCTCTCAAGAGCAATAAACAAATGTTTATTTGATTTTTAAATTTTTTACCTTTTTATTTTGCATTAGTTTCATTAAAAAAAAATTTATCCACTTTAACAGGCTCAAAAATATTTTAGTATTAAGTTTGAAAACTAGTCTTCATATTTTTATAGACTTGATTAATCTTCTTTGAGTATTTGCTTGTCTTAAATTGAGATTGAAAAATCTGTCTGACACAGATGAATGTCTTCCTTTTTGAGGAAGGTACCATTGCAGGTCTTGGTACCAATTGTATACACTTCTCAGATGTAATATAAAATTTTGGTTGTTCAAAAATGACTACCATTTTGTAATTAAAGCTACTCTTAGTACTTCTTTAAGTAGGTAAGATGAAAGTAACTTTATCATTTTAGAAAATTCTGTCTTGTATTCCTGACATTTATACTTCTTGCATGAAAGTCTTGGGAATTAATTGCATATCTAATCTTTTTTTTTTTTCTCTTTGCAGATAAAAAATAGCCTGTTGAATCCAAATGCACCTGAATTTATTCCAAGATGGTGTAAGAATACTTCAGTGACTAATTAACAATTCCTCCTTCCTGGTTACTAATTGTATTTTAGTTAGAATTCTGCTCTTGTCTACAAATGTTCAATCTAAAAACTTTAGTCTTTCATGAATGGGCAAGAATTAGAAAGTCCAAAACAAAAACAAACTTGTGTAAGCTATGCATTCAGTTCTGCCCATGTTTAATCACATGAAATTCTCAACTTTTAACCATCTTCCCATTCTCTTAATTTAATAAATGTTTTTTTTTTTTTTTTTTCTCTGGTTGTTGGCGACCATTTTGGTATGAATTAAATATTTCTGGTAGTTCTCTTGTCCTCTACATATTGTACTTTTCCATGTAAGTTGAAAGATAGTCCCTTTGACTACTTTCACTTGATACTTGGCCATTAAAACACTTTTTTGATCTCATTTGAATATTGGACTTCAGCCCCTTGCCACAGTTTCTATTTCAGGATTTTAGAAATTGTATAGACTTTAATTGTAATTTCATTTTTGACTTAATTAGTTTTGTCAGAGGCGTTAGCATAAATTTACCATTTTATTGTACTGGAATGATTTACTGTTAATCTTAAATTAAGGGCCTATATTTTCCTAGGATTGTCATTGTCTTCCTGGCACTGTAAAAAAAAAAAAAAAAAAAAAAAAAACACAATTGTTATTGATTTTAGTAGTCTTAATTTATTGTAAGACCGACTTAAAACTAAATTTCTCTTGATACTGTAACTCTGTACTAAAGTCTGCCCAATGACTTCCTCGGAGTAATTTGATATTTTTGACTTAAACTCCTAAGCTTAAACCAGATGGCTCGACTTTCTTTTCGCTTACTCTTTAAGTTTAAAGTGTTCTTGGGTTTTAACAGGATGCTTTTTAACATTGTCAAAGTAGAGCCACATCACCTTTTTGGTTAAGCATTCTAACTTGATGATGCAGTTTTCATCTCGAAAATAGGTACTAATTTCAACTCTTGTGAATATGGAGTTGATCAAATTCTGGAGCTGACTAGTACAATTACTGTTGAATTTTAGTCATTTTCTGCCTTGACACTGGGCCAGAAGATGGTTAGTCTGTCCTACACTTGGCTTGCATTTCCACTGACTGCTCCTCCTTTTTGTTAGGAAATGTTGGGTCTTTTCAAGTTTTTTAAAGGCTGCTTTTGGCACACTACCTCAATTTTCATGTTTTGCTACATGAAATCTTGTAAAAAGTTCATTGTTACTGTAAAAGGATTTTTTACATACATTTTCATTCCAGTAATGTTCAAATTCAATTCTCCGCTAAGTCCTCACTGAAATTTTAATGTTTTACCTTACTGATACAAGTGAAGTTTATGGCATGTGAGCTTTTGTTCCTATACTTAGAAGTATAGAAAAGCTAGAACAGGGATTTCTTTTTCTCGACAGTTAAAGAAATAACTGATCCATTTGTTCCAACAGAACTTTCCAAATGTACAAAGTGAATAATAAAAAAAAAAAATTTATAAATTGAAATTTGTCACTTCATTGTTTCTCCTGAAATTTTCAAAAATGTCTAAACTCTGTACAGTTTTCTCTGATCAATGATTAAAAATGAGTGAATAAATCTTGTAGGTTTTCAAGAGGACCATACTACTACAAATCTTATGGACTGGTGTTACAGAATCACAAAGAACTTTACTGAATTGAAACCACATCACTTGTGGACTTCCAGTAACAGTAACTAAACTGGATTGCGCATGTAACTTGAAGAGGAAATGGTATAATCAAAATGTCTAAAAGTACATGAAAGAAAAGGTTAGGAAGAAAGCCCCTGACAGAACTGTTTAGACACTGACTGCCAAATGTTTCCATATAACGAAACGGCTAGTATTACTTCTATCATTATAGAACTATACTAATTTAGCCTTTTATTCTAATGCTTATAAGAATTACTAAATGAACCTGCTTGATAAATGGAGGATTCCCCCCCCCTCCTTCTGGGGAGGGGTATTTTCTTGAGCTTGTTTTTGCTTTATTTTTAGTATATGATTAATTTCAACATATGCATACATTAATACATATTAAACTTAATATTTTTGAACAATGATACTCCTTGGAACATCTTATGCACAGTGGAGTTGCAAATTCTTTGTACCAATTTGTCACCGTTTCTCAAGTGTACCTGCAGACATAGCATGGTCTTTGCTTTCTTCTTCCAGCTTTATTTGCAGGCAAATATTCCAGGAAATACCTCGTAAATCCTAGAATTGTCATTTAGGCTAAAATCATGAATGATGCCCATATCATTGGAAAAAGTTTAAATCCTCAATTGATGACTGCAGTTTAAGGGTTAAATGATTTAAAGGCTTAAATTTCATTTGACTTTAAAGAATGTACTTATTGGATTATTTTGGACAGCTTTTAATTTACCGATACTTTTATGATAAACTATGAAACGAAGACTTTATGGACTTAGCTAAGAAATGTCAGTAGTTAAACCTACATTTATTGGCAGGAAAAAACTGGAAGGATTTTTGTTGCTTATGCAGCAAATTCTAAAATATCTTGATTTTCTTATGTAGAATGAATCGGCCAAATCAAAAGGAAGTATCTTCAGTTCTGGCAACTCTTGGAATGAGGTTTGAAATTTTAGACTATACATGTAAACAATTGTCTCTTTTTATTGTTTTGATAATTACTCAAATATCAATCCTTGACAAATCTGTTTACTGTTTATGCACAGAACTAGATACCCTTTATAACAAGACTCTTGAATAAAACAGCTTCAAATTAAAAAATTTTCCATTTGTTGGGAATCTCTGCCATGGGTCAAATAACATGGCAGATTGGAATCTTGCTATGACTTGCAGCCAGTTTACAAGTAACTCTGAATGCTAAATTGTGTTGTACTGGCAGGGTACATATATAGGTTCACTCAGAATAGTTACAGTGCAAACTACAAGTTGGCTCTGTCAAAACACGAATGGACTGTGAGAGATATATATATATATGTGTGTGTGTGCTTGAAAACTAACACATATTGAAGATGAGAAATTACATTGACTAATAACATTTTTTATTTTATTACTACTACTAGCAAAAAGCCACTAAAATGTAAGGGGTTACTGAATAAGAGGATGAGGGGAAAAAACATCAGGGAAAGTGAACAGGAATTAAGACCTCAGGTGCATTTAAATTTTTTGAAGATCAAACTTGACTAGAAAGCAAGTAGCTGGAAGACTTCTACAAGCTAGAAGTATGAGAAGAATCTGTTAGTGTAGAACTTTGCTTATATCTGTAAAATGATATCTGGTCACCAATTTAGGAGTATGCTTAAATTCATAAAGTTTATGCACCAAAGAGAAAGCTCCATCGGAATAATTACCATGAAAATATAAAAAAAGGCACAGAAGCTATACTATAGTAGTGGGGAAAGTGACTGAATATGCCAGGTCAGGACTTGATAACATTGCAGATTTCTTTGTATTTTATCAAGAATGTTTAAATATATAGTACTGCCAGACCAGATGTGATGGCAATATTCAACACCTGGATGAATGGTAGACTTATAAATTTGTAAGATTCTGGCATGAAAAATTCTCTACCAACTTTCCTCACAGCAGACCTAACAATTGATTCAATATAATCTTTCCACTTTGTCTGGAAAATGATAGTTTAAGGCACAAAGGAGTTGCTCTTCAAGTTGGAACATCTCTGATTGGGAATAGGATTATCAAATTGTAAGTTGTTACACATTTCTTGCTTTCAATGGAGAAGATAAATGTTTTTTTGTCCTTGTCTTTTGTTGGCATAAGGAATATTTTTCAAGGGAAATTGTTTCAAGACACATTGTGGTAAACATTCACACAAGCATGGTCCCTCATTGACTTTGATGTCTGAGGGTCCAATGGTTCAACTTAAAAGAGAACTGCTATACTAACCACTGATTTGATTTTAGTGGTGAAAGTATGGATAGAACTAATGCCGCTTTTTTTTTTTTTTTTTTTTTTAATCTGATAGCAGAAATGGAGTATTGTGTACCATGATCTATACTTTGAATTTGGCTTTCCTTCAAGACTAGCTGCCACCTAAGAAAAGACCCTAGTCTGTCCTATTATAACCTATAACTGCAGGGAAATTGCACTAATGCTCTTGGAAAAGGTACACATATATAAGGAATGGATTTTTCATTTATTAATCCAACAATTTTTTTAATTTTGATTAAAAATTTATTTAGTCAATAGCCATATTTGAGTAGTTAAGATAATTATTTTTATTGCATGTGCTAAGGTTCCCGTTTTCCAGTCTTCTGAGGATCTCTTTAGTCAGCCTAGCCTAGAAATATACACAATATGGAAGCCATTAATAATGAAAGAAAGATGACTGCCATACTTCAATAGCAGCAGCCATGGGAGAAAAGAGATGCTTCAGTGAGTGCAATCAGGCATGATAAGCAGCACTTATTAGCAGACATGTTAGTTTTAAGGCCCTGAGTTTTCCACATATGCTGGTCTCATGATCCATTAAAGTGTTAGTTGATATAGTAATTGTTTTCAATCTCTGGGTCAAGCAATGTGACCCTAGGCTCAGTGGAAACAGAACATGCAATAACTAAGCAGTAAACAAGAATGAGAGATATCCCTAGACATGGTTAGAGGAATGGGAACAGTCTACCCTCATAGATTAAGTAAAGGATTCAGTTTAAAGGTTACCTTGATTGACAAGCACCTGATGAAGGCCAGAGAGCATAACGGCCAAATTATTGTGATAACATCAAAGGCAAGTACAATAATCTGCAGGTAAATGATGCAAATTAATAATCCGGTAAGTCCTCAGGTTACAATAGTCCTATGATGATTTGTGTTTACAACACAATCTCCATCTTGTTTTCTTGTATGCCATGTTGGATTGTTTTGCATTCACTCTCTTTCATTTGTGTTGTTTGTGGAAACTTTTGCCCTTCATTATGGTTCCCAATCTCTTCTGATGGCAGTACTTTGGAGAAAAAGAAAGCAATTACCATGGAAGTGAAATTATGGTTCTGTTCTGACTTGTGCATCATAGAAATGTAACATATATTCAGTTAAGTAATGTATCATACAAAAATTTGAAAAATACAAATATTAAAATACTGAACAATTTTCAAAGAAGTTAATGCCTTTCTCATGTGTCAGGCAGTTATGAAGTCAGTGTTTGTAATGAATTACTTTAGTAATATAGAGTAATGGATGAACTATGGGAGAAAACTTTATTTTTCATTTATCTATGTTACCATATCCATGATATAATTTAGATGGAACAGAATAGATAAAAGAAAAGGCAAACATGTTTTGTTTTCAATTTTATGCCACTAAGGCAAATGCAACACACACACACACACACACACACACAAGCAAATCAAAAAAAGTACATACAATAATTCTCAATAGGAACTGGAGCTACCAGAGATTTTTCTGTGTTTCTTGAGAAGCCATATTTAGGATTTCTGATTCAAGCAGACTGGATTTATCTGTTATGTCTGTAGTGAAGACATATTCCACAAGCAGGAAACTGAAAGTCCTGGGTTTTTCTCAAATTGAGGATTGCAAGCTAGAGATATTTTCTATATCTGGTGAAGATATATTTCTATATGAAAATGGTGCCATAGGTGTGTAAACTGCACTGTGGCTGGAGGAGACTGATTTTAGCTTCAGCCTGAGCTAAAAAAAGGAACTGCTCAGTTTGACTCCTGAAAGCTGACTGAAGGACTGGCCACTTTTGTCAATCAGCAGCCATCATGGGACCCACATGACTTCATCTCAACAAGAAAGACATGCAATATAATGGGTTGACCAAAAAGTTTGTTTTCTTATTAAGTAGAAAATTTACTTGATGAACTGAACAAAAGTTGTAGTGAATCTAATATAAAACCTTTCTATAAAATATATTGTTGGTAATTTTACTATAAAAATGTATTATTGGTTATTATGAAAATGTACTGTTGATTATTGTTTTGGGGTCCACTCTTTGTCCATAGCTGGGACCCTAACAGGTGCTACCACCCTTGGTCAGTGTGGATCTGGGAACAGCAGCAGTTAAAAAGTGGTTCCACAGTCTTCAACAGTTTCAATCTCCCAATCAAAGGCCTTGATGTTTGATGTAGCTTATCATAGCCAAGACATTAAAAGAATTTTGATATGCACTATAGTGTACAGGAAATTTTGTTAGCAGTATAGAACTGTTTTTTGTTTCTATGTAATATAATTCCTCCAATATGCTAGTGAATGTTGAACAATTATTTCTTCCCAGATGAAGAGGAAACTTGAGGAAACATGTGATTCTACAGAAGGATGTTAAAAATACCATGAATGTGAACTACAAGGACATTTTAAGGAAAATGTAATTAAAAAAGGATACTTGTACTTAAAATCAATAAGAGATAGTTGTAATTTCTGGTATGCATAATGAAGAAGGAGAATTTGACACACACAGGGATTGGTAGTAACTATTTATTTTTCAGCATGTCCATGTCTCTACCGAATGTGGCACAAGTTCAAGGTTTAAAGTGGGTTTAATGGCAATATTGTGCAAAAATTTGAAAAGCCCCCTTTTTTTTCAGACGCCGGACAATAAAGGAAGGATACTGCCTAGGGGAAAACCTCCACCGTCTGGTGCTTAGGCTTAATTATTTTAAAAATTTCCCGAACAGATAGTAAGGAGACAAACATTATTTTGAGCTACAAAAGATAGGAAGTTGTGAAGAGACGTGATTTCACGTCCTGAACAGACTGGCTAGTGGTGACGTTATTGTTACCACTAATAACGCCTTGTCGTAATACCGGGGAGTTAATTTATATATTTTTGGAACGAGACTGACCGTCTGGTTCAGTGGTAGTCAACATGGGCGATGCTACCCACGAGAGGTTGATTTAAGCTTTTAATTGGGCGATAGACTCATTACTAGGTCGCAAGGTCGGGTATAAATGTCTGTTTTACTTCCGCCACTTTGTTGCATTGGCACTTTGAAAACTACTGTTTTGGGCATGTTTGAAAATGACAACAAGAGACAGACAGATGTTGGGTGGGGGGTATGATACGTAAGACGCTTTCCAGACTATCTTTTGCAACAACGTTGCTTAATTACGAGGTTTTATCATTAGATTTTGTGAAATCTGTATCTTTTTAATGAAAATGGAAAGGATTGCTGAATATATTTGTTGCTCTTAATACCAGTTTCCCAAACAACAAATTGAGAGAGAGGTGTGTTGTTACGGAAAACAAGATTCGTGTAAAATCACCAGTACAATATTTGGTAAATTTCTTTTTCAATCCCCAAGCTAAATATCTATTAATATTTTTCGATATCGTGATATTTGCGTATAAATGTACATGCTGAACTCGAATTAAGAATTACAATTATGATAAAACCTGCAGTGAAAGCAGTAAATAGGCCAAAAAGTTATGATTGCGCTACGAAAGAGATTCGCAGTGAATCTAATTACACAAAGCCGGTAATGATGGGCGAATGACCGCGATTAAATCCGTTTTTTTTTCCTGGTCGATAACTCCAAAACGGTAGGTTTTATCATAATTATAATTGTTAATTCAAGTTCAGCATGTACATTTATACGGAAATATGACGATTTCGAAAAATATTAATAGATATTTAGCTTGGGGATTGAAAAACAAATTCACCCAATATTTTAATTTCTATCTGCATATCTGTGATGAGGAATTATTATTTACATTCAGACTAATGTTCTCATCTTTGTTGTTATTAATACAACGTTTCAGCCGTTTTGCCCTTCGACCTTCTTCAGGTATTTGTCTATCGGGTAACCTTCTAGGAATTTCGAACTAAACGTATTTAATATACAGTGGTAGATTGTTCTCGTTCCGCTCTCCATATCTTAGAATATCTCGTCTTGCTCTTTTTTAGTACTGTTCAGTTATTGCTCGCCTTATTTCCACTGAATCTAATCTGTGTTCCCTGACGCTATAACACAATTACTATGTCATTAAAATTACGAACCAATACTTTAATCTATTAGACTACAGCCCTGTAAATTAAATAAAGGGTTAATTTCGAAATTCTCAATATCTGGTGGAGATACATTCCTAAAGGGAAATGGCGCTATCGGCTTGTAAGCTGCACCACGTCGCCGTTGCCTGGTCCGGGCAGAACGAACAACTCGTATGTCTTGACTCCAGGCAGTTACTGACGAACGGGTCACTTTCGTCATTATGAAGTTACGTCACTAAGTGGCCTTCAAGTGACTTCATCTTGATCAAAGGGACATAATCGCCTTTTGTATCCGTACAATGTATAGATGGCCAGAGCCCGGGAGTTAATCTCTCCACTGATATATCTCTAACAGCCAGATTGGGGGAAATTTGTTTTTAATAACCAAGAGAATAACTTTTCATCAGCACCGAGCTAACCTTGAATTTTCACTCGTCACAATGAATGGTTGCATTTTTGTTGCACGTGGTATGTTGGTCCAAAAACACATAAACGATGAAAAACAACAGCAAACAAACAAAACGGAACTTGAGTAAAAAAAAAGAAGTATGTTGCCAAGTTTATTTTCGTTAAAGAAAATATATCTACAAAAATATGGTTACAGTGCACTAGGCAAAAAATAACTCTGCGTGCTCATGTAGAGGTTGAGAAGATCGTTGTCCTGAAAAGGGCAGTTTTGGTAGTCGCTGAAAAGGACGTTTTATTGCATATCATTATTGCTGCTGACGAGGATGGCTGGCCAAAGCTACTGCTGATAACTGGAATCGTGGGCTGGCTGCTGGAACAGATACTACACTTCATCCTTATCATCTAAGTCGTGGAATTATACTTTTTTTTCTTTGCTTTGAGGCCATTTTATATGCCGAATCAATTCTACAGGCGTCGTTGGGTAAGCTTTTTCTTTCGGTTCTTTTAAAAAAAAATGTGGGAATGCCGACATGATACGTCACTCTCAAAAAGAGGCTCCTTGCTTTGAGCATCGTTTGGGACTGAAGTTTACTCCAAACCTCGTGGGACTCATATATACGGTCGATCGTTAAATACGTTGGAAAAATGGTCGCCTCCTTATAAAATATATAAATATAATATAAATTAATAATAAAAAAATTAAAAAAATCTTTTAAAATCATTCATTTTTTTCAGTTATTTTAAAATTTGAATTTTTAACTGTTTCCTCCTCATCAGGGCACAAATCCCAGTGCTGCGTGTGCAAGCACCAGGTGAAGGACAGATTATTAATCCCAGGATTGTCCTGATTCCAAAAAGGTACAATATGTCTTTGTAGCCTTAGTGTGGCGCAAGTTAGAAGGGTTTCAGACACACGGACGGACAGACAGAAATTACCATTTATTTATTTAGATTTTTACAATTTGTGCAACAGTTTACCTTCAATATTAGAATCATGCCTCTCTGTCCCCGCCAAAAGAAATATGACTGTCGCTATTTACTAGAGTACCTACAGGTGGACTTGAATCTATTATAAACTTCTAACGTGTTAGACTTACGGCCAAATCACGTTCAAACACCGGTTCTCGTACGATCACCGAAACGAAGCAACTTCGTGCCTGATCAATACCTAGATGAGTGACCGTTTTGGAATATCAGGTGCAGTTAGCTATTGTCCAGTTCACACTCCTCTCCTGACATTTGAACAGGAAGTTTATCTCTTGTTTCTTGTCTAGGATTGGGCTTCCGGTTTCTTCTATAGTCTTCTCATTCTCTTTCACTCACAGTAACAGCTTGAGTCTTAGTGGCATTATCGCCTTGTTTGGGTGAATTGATAAAAAAAAATGGATGCGTGTGGGTGTGATGTAAGAGATAACGTCTCGGAATTGAAAATCGGAGAGTCGAGCTACACTTCCAGACGGGTGAGTTATAATCACTTACGCGCAAATATCCATTGGAAAGTTATGAATCCGCCTCTTCTACCCCCAGCTATGAGTTAATTAGTACGACCTGTGTCAGTAAATCATTATTGTCTTCCTCTCCTCAAATCTTACAATTTTAAAATATTTTCTAGCTTTAAATAACCTGCAAATGGTTGATAATCCGTAAAAAAAAATCACTTGATCAGTCAAATAGTCATTATTGCAAAATTATTTCCTTATTGAAAAGATTGATCTTTTTCGTCATAACATTTTAAAGAGAGAATTGCATCAGCTTCCATAATTATTATCGATTAAAGTAGATGATGTAACTGTGGAGGGAATTGCTGAGTTCAGTCGTGACTTCACTGAACTTAAAATAAATATGGAGAAATAATTTAGTGATATTATAAACTTGTTGCGGCACTACCTCTAGTTTCTTTAAAGGCAGTAGCAACAATAAATGATAAATGTAAAAAAATGGGAAGACAAATTTAGCAAGGCGATATTTTCTACTTTCGTTTTTATATAACTGAGTAAATACACTGTATGAATGAAAAAAAAACGGGATATTATAAAAGTTAGGAATTATGTTAGTGACACGTGTGTGTGAAAGTTCAGGGAAAGATGAGGAACAGGTCCTGGTGGTGTTGTCACTAAAGCATGCTGAGGGGGGGGGGGAAGCGAAGAGAACGAAAACAGAAATTGTCCCATTTTTATATCTTAACAGTACCCTCAAATGGGTTCTTGTCGAAATTAGTGAAGCAAACTTATAAACTTGAAGATACATAATTGAATCGAAAATTTTTACAATTAATGTTGTGAAAACTGATGTAATATGTCAAGAAGAATTATTAAAACATATTAAGAAAGAAAATCTAACTTAATAGTGCTGGTGTGGAGACACAAAGCGAATCAAACAGGAAGTTAACGCTTCAGAGTCAAAAATGCGAATGAAAAACGTTTGTACGCAGGTAGGCTCAGCGCAAAACTTCCGTTTCTTTCAACTTAAAAAATAAGAAATTCGGATCGCATATTTCAGCCAATCAGAGAACTGCCAGATTGGATATCCGATGGTTCCTGCTCTTATTTCAACAAAGTGTATATATTAATTAGCTTCAGGGTCCTTTTTCAACCTCAGCTACTGTAAGTCACGTCGGCCATTTCTTTGATACTGTAGGCATACAGAAGGCGCTTATCTCTCTTTGGTGGAAGATAAGTCCCGTGGTCACATGACAACCGCTTCATGACGTCACTCCATACGATGATAAGTTTTTAGCCACCCTTAATTACAGCAATTTTGGCTTGTGTAATAATGTATCTTCTTTTTTTTTCAGACAATACCGTGTTAGTATCCACTTACATCTATGAACGATAGTTGACTTATATTTTGCAATTAAAATTCGCGGAAGTAAGGAAATTGGTGAATTTCAACGAAGGCAAATAATAGGATGGCATCAGTGTGACAAGTCAAATAGAGAAATTTGCTAGGTTTTTCCAGGTTAATCATCAAAGGATTAACAATATTGTCAAGAACGTTAATGAAAAAGGCCATTGTCGTGTGGAACAGCGTTCAGGAAAACCAAGCATCGTGTTTGAATGAAAGAAAAGCATGCTGAAGAGGGAAATCATCAGAAACCGTCGTCAGAGCATCAAAGATGTCGTCAGCAGCATGGAAATATCGCTATATGCAGTGAGAAAGACTCTGAAAGAGCTAGGCTATCAAAGAAGAGTTGCAAGAAAGAAGTCCTTGATTTCAGGGGTCAACAGGAATGGAGATACGGACTGAGCGAGAGAATTCGAGAGCAAAGATTATGAATTTTAGCAGTCTGTAATTTGGTCAGATGAAAGTAAATTCTGCCAATATTCGAATTCGAGAGAGGTTTATGTTTGTGGAAATCAGAATGAGACTTGCAACACTGAATGTCTACAGGCGACCGTGAAACATGGAGGGATTGGAGCAATGGTGTGGGGCGCTGTCTGGTTTGGAGGGAAACCTGAGCTGATTCCTGTTGACGAGCAGCTGAATGGTCCAAAATACTGTCAAATATTAGAGAAAGGACAACTCCCACTATTTGAAACCAATCAGATTGACAAGAATATCTATCTTTATCAAGAAGATGGAGCGCCATGTCATACGAACAAAGGTCTGGAAGGATTCGCAAGGAATCAAGTCACTGTCCTGGGTAGCCCAAAGTCCTGACATGAATCCATTAGAGCACGTTTGGGAGCACCTTCACCAACAACTTCGAGGGCGTGTAACCAAAATCAGGTCAGTGGCAACCCTTAAAGAAACATTGCTAAAGGAGTGGCAAAATATGGATCAGACAATTGTTGATAACTTGATCAAATCCATGAAAAATCGAATACAAGCACTGAAACTAGCAAATGGAGGATCTACTCTATACTAGTTCCAAATACTGTTTATTTATGTTGAGTAGGGATTACGTAATTAAATTTTGAAATTGGATGTAGTTTATTTCTCCTGGCTAAAAACTTTTCTTAGGCCACTATACAGTAATCCAAAGCGGGAGTCGACTTTCAGTTCGTGAATAGCAACCAAACGAGAAGGTTGCTTTCTTCTAACCTGGGCGTTTGGCCCAGGCTGAGGCTAAATCTGCCTCCCCAACTTACAAGCACATCATGCCGTTTCCTTTTGGGATATAGATATATAATATATCTATGTCCCAAAAGGATGTATATAGTTTTGTGTAGGAGGCATGGATCGAGGAATCGGAGAGCCGAGTTCGAATTCCTGTCGAATCCAATGCATATTCCAATACCCTTGGGAAAGTTATGGATCATCTTCTTCCCCAGTTATACCTATATGATATAAATAGCAGGACAGACTATAGCCTTGGATGGAAACTGGTCTAAGAGAAAGACAACTCTGAATTCAAAACCTGCGGAGGGTCATTTGGGGACTTTGTGGCACACGGTGCACCAGGTCTCTGTATTCGGCTCTCCAAAAAGTGTAGTTGGATCTGCACAAAACTTTCACCGCTATAATGAAATCATTATGTGCAGGTTGTCTGGTTGTCAGTTTCTCATTCGTCGTAAAAGAGTTCCCGGCCCGCGTCGTTCAACAACAGGAGCGTCCACGATGGTTTTGTGTATGTCATAGTATATAGAAGTCTCTTTGGGAACAAATGTGGAAATCTGTCCTGGTATTCCCCACATGAAAGCGTTATAATTAAAGGTGACAGAATCGATAAAAGTAACAACGGCTTGAAAGTTTAGAGTGGGGCAATTCTCTCTTTTAGGCGGAAGCATAAAAACTCAAACTCCTGCTCGGGGTGTAACAATAAAAGAAGAAAATGTTTACTTACATACATAAAAAAGGTAAAGGGATATACACAAATATGAGAGAAAGGGAGAAGAAAATTCCTTTAACTTTGTTATGGTGAAACACACCTGTTCTATAGTTTAATAGACTCTCCCACCTAATATAAGTAGGAGTAATAAGAGAAACGATGGTCAGTCGATGTCGGACGACCGGCTGAACGGTTGAACTCTCTGCCTTCGGGCGGGGAGGAACCCGAACGAGGCTACGCCGAAGGGCGGAGTTTCGTTCGGGGATGTAAACCGACCCTGAACCCGTTTATACGGGTTCAAAGGGTATATTTTTGGCCGAGGCCACGGGCTCGGAGATCCCACGTTAAACCGGCCTTGTGCCACATGATACCCTCGTGGGGGGACTAAATACTAGTCGATGTCGGACGACAGTCGAATACGAAAGTAGTCAGTGACCACAACAAGATTACTCTGCGTAATACCTATCAAGTTCCTAACGTTTTGTACGTCGAACCTATTTAGGACCGATTTAGTACAAATACAAGCCTCCACTGCGAAACTAACTCCACAACAAAGTTAAAGGAAGAAAAAGTGTTCATGTAAAAGCTTGCTCAAAAATATTTCTCTGAGCGCCTAAAAGTTCTTTAAGCAAGTAAATTGTTCTTAAGAGGTTAACACTCACATAAGATTTCTTGTTGAGGGGATAACAATCGCACGATCCATTTGTAGTTTGTAGTTGAGTGAGTTCGTAGGTCGACGACAGGAATTTCAAGGTCCTAAGAAGCAGATCCCGAGTAGTTTTAGTAAAGGACCGACTTTCTGTCTTTAGAGCCCAGCATGTTGATTTCTTCCTCGAAATAGGTTCCGAAGATGACAGGTGTTATTGTCGCCGATCTGATGTTATCCCACGATGACAAATACTCACTGCCAAAAATACTAGAAGGCTCAGAAATATCTTAAATTTTTCCCCCCAAAATCGCTTTTTTCCGGTCCTTTTCGTCAGGAAATATATTCTTATCTTACTTATTATAAAACGCAGATTGTGTGTGTGTGTGTGTGGGGGGGGGTGTCTGTAACGTTTATATATTGGATCGGATTTCCTACATTTTTCAACCGATTTCAACAAAACTTCAGAGGACTACATAAAATTACCTTGTGGTGGTTCTAACAGCACCAAAAATGGGAAAAATACAATTTTTTTTGCATAAAATCAATTTGAAAACACGATTAAGAGTCATCGTGAAAATGGAAGGGGGACAACTCACATCGGGTTGTTTGTGTGTGTGGGTTCCTTTAAATATGGGAGCGGATTTCCTATATTTTTCAGCTGATAAAACAAAAATTAACTTTTTTTTTTTTTGGCAGGTAGTGTTTCTTATTCTCTTGCACACTTTTTTCTTTATTTTTATTTTAATAGTCAGAATGCTTTAAAAATTCCATTTACAAGACAATTG